TCATCATATTTAGATCTAAACCTAGAATTCATCTCCCAATTTCAGCTAGGGAATCAAATTAATTGCTGACCACACAATCATATATTAAGCACAAAATATGATAAACAACTCATATAAAATCAATAAGAACTAGAAATGAAAGTAGATCAATTTAACTAAATATCAGGTTCTGTTGCAATATTAATAAAAACTTAGTTCAAAATGTAATTAAAAAACATCATTCTTAAATTAAACAACATCTTAGAAAATCAAAAACTAAAAGTAAGAGAAAATAATGAAAACTTAGTTGCAATCTTCAATCTCGTTCTAGCCTTCAAGTCCAATCTTCTTCATGTCGTTTTCTTCGATTATTTGCGTTCAATTTTTTATATCAATCCTTGGTTCTCCAACTATTAGTAGCCCCTCAAATTAGTATATTCCAGTCCCAACTCAAACCCTAGCATATATGTAACATTAGGGTTCAATTTTAACTCAAAAACAAGTTTGAATTCATGTTTACACTAAAACAAGCGTTGTAGCCCCTAAAATCAACGCTAGGGCGCTAACTTTCTACCCTTCTAGCACTACTCTTAGCACAGCTGCGCTAATTTCCTTTTAAGCCTAGAGCTACCCTTGTTACTTAGTCTTTAAATAATTCAACACTTCGGCTCCCAAAATGACCTTGTTTCCTTTCAAATGATCTTGTTTTTCTTCCAAATAATGATCCATACATAATAACATTAAAACACACAAAACGAATAAAAATGAACATAAAATACTTGAACACATACAATTTCATCAAGCCAAGAGTACTCAATTCGTAGATATAAAATTCACTCATCAAATACCCCCAAACTTAAATATTTGTTTGTCCTCAAGCAAAATACTAAGAACAGAAACTATAAAAATTAACCCTAACAACCATCTACTCAAACAATGGATTATATATGAATCTGAATATTGACCCCAAAAGTTACTACAAAAAATAATTTACGGGAATCTTCTAAATAGTGCAAAGTCTATCAATTCAACATACTTCTTAATTTTACCTCCGCTCATGACCCTTTAAATACATGCACATATCCGCTCACGACCCTTAATTTATTTTATTTTTATTTTTATTTTTTATACTAACCCATCATAACTAATATTTCCCCCAAACTTATATGAATACCTCAATTCACTTTGAATGATACTTAAATAAGTTTTCTAGAGTTTCAATGATGTCTCCCACAAGTATTTAATCAAATAAATTCTCTAAATAATAACTAACCAAACAGATGGATATGTGCTCATGCATGAAAATATCACAAACAGTGTAAAACAAACAAGTATGTCAAACTATAGACTCAACGTATTCATCAATTTTTCTTCAATTAACAATTAATCTCATTCATCATTGGTCATAATCAAATTCACTCAACCCATTACTCAAGTCGTACTAAAACATGTATTTAAATGCATAGAAAACCCAAATTTTTTTAGAACTCAGATGACGAAACGTACCTCACTGTTGGATTCATCTCGCGAAATATAGTTATCCAATCAATATTCGTTGAATTTTTAGACAGTCGAATTTTTTCCATTTTACGAGACAGTTGGGTGTCGCATGACCAAAATAAATGCGATCGAGAATTAAATTGCTAAAAGTAAAAAATAATTTAAATTAATTTCAAGATTAATTAATTAATTTGGGACAAAATTGAACACAAGAAAGACAGATGTGTGGCACAACGAGGGCCAAGTATTCAAGGGGTATAAATAGGGGAGAAAAATCATATTTTCTCCCCATTACCCATCAAATTTTCATTGGAAAGAGAGAGGAGAGGAAGAATCAAGAGTTTTCTTCAATTTCTCTCTACAATCTACGGCTCTCCGTTCGTCGAATCACCTCGGGCCAAGAACAAAGATTGTTCTACACGACGTGGGTTACAAAACTATACCAAAAATATAAGCTTTTGACAAAGTCCAAAAGATGAGATTTTTGAAAATCAAAGGTTAAGGCTTGATTTGGGTCTTGGGAGTTTTTTCACCGCTTGAATTATGCTTCAAGAGGTAGGGTTCCTTCCCTAATTAGGTTTATTTCTAAGTTAGGGTCAAAATATGAAATGAGTAGGGTATTAGAGATGAAATCTCATATATGACACATATCTATGGAAATTGAAATGTGGAAAATGGGCCTAAGAATGGTTAAAATCAATTCTAGAATGAATTGTGTTTATTAAAATTACTTGTTTGTGATTTCTTGAGAAATGTGATGATTTGAGCATATTATGTGTTACATGATTTTGTGCCTTAAAGGTGTTTGATGAAATGTCTATGTAAATTAAGTGTGTTATTTGCATTTATTATGTTATAACATGCTTGAGAGTTGACGTTGGTATATGCATTACGATATATTGACATTGAGGTTGTCGATGGTGGTTATATGCTTATGATGTAATTGAACATAACAAATGTTGATGAATATTTTAGTTGTTCATATTGTGCTCATAACATATTAAACTTGATATTGAAAATGTAATTGTACATCACGTTTTCATATACACGGTAAACATCACATTCGTGAGTATGTGACATGAGTGTGTGTGTGTGTGTGTGTGCATGGTTTTAATCAAACACTATTTTTGGTGGGTGATACGTGGGCTCAAAAAAGTTGGACCAAGGTTCGACTAAGTCGCATAGGTTACATTGAAAATAGAGTCGGGGTTTATAAGAAGAGCTAGACCATTCCTCGAGTGTAAGACCTAGTGAATTTGGATATGTACTTCGTTGGTATCTAGTTCAGAAAGTGTGTTGGCGTATGCAAAGCCATTGGTGGAAGTCCATGAATGTCGTGTCGATTGAGTGCCTATTGGTGTAAGTCCATAAATACCCATCCCAAGAAAGACCTAGGAGTTTTAATGGTCATTGGATGTGTAACATCAATGGTGGGGGTTTAGAATGTCCAGATTCATATGCATGACATTACATGTGTTATGGGAGCCGGTGAAAGCTCGGGTTGAGTTGCATGGGTGAGTCTCATCTCATATCATGACATGGTATATAGAATTCCATTATGAATTGCATATTCTTAAATGGATTGTTGTTGATTGTTGAATTACATGTGAGCATTTCATATACATTTAGATTGAGGAGTAGCTTCTTTAGAAAATACTCTATTGAGCATGACTTACCCTTTATAGGAACAAAAATTCAGGTGCGGGACATGTGCTGGTGGATGGCTCTCACTCGGGCCCTCATTGATGAAGAAAAGCCGAGATGTGGCTTTAAATTATGTTTTTGTAAAACTAGTATGTAATTTAGTTTTGGACATGTAATAGTATGTAAAGAATTGTAAAGCAAGCTCATAAGGACTATGTTTTGTGTAAAATTCTATGCTATATGAGTTTGGGTTGATGTTGTATGAGGTTGAATGAGTTGGAAATGAAAAATCATGGAATCGAGAAAAAAATGGGCACTTCTATCAGTAGAACGTCGAGTATCTATCAGTAGAAGAATTCCAATGGACCCTTCTACCAATAGAACGTTGATTTCCTACCAGTAGAAGTATTCTAGTGAGTTTTTCTACCAATAGAACGCTGCTTTTTCTACCGGTAAGTCCTCTAAAATTTTTAGAAAATTCAAATGATCTTGTTAGGTCTTCGGGCTTTAAGTCTCTTTGCTTTAAGAAGATAAATGGAGTAATATTAAGGGTAAAGCCATGTATTTTGGACATTGGAAGGGTCAAGTGATTGAGTTATATACATGTTATGCATTTGAAAGTGCCAAGTACAAGAGAGACTCTGACCGAACTCTATGTTGTTTATGATTCCGGTGGATGAAATGCTATTGTCGTTGTATTGGGTTATGAGATACTCATGGGTACTTTCATGGGTTGATGGGTGATCAAGAGGTTGATAAAAGACCCCCGGTTTTATGGGCGTCATATTGCTAGTACAATCCCAAAATATCATTTATATGATTGATTTAGGAAATGCTATGTAACCTAAATTTACATCTCAAATAAAAGGAAACTATTGGATAAGTGGATCCTATCAACTTTTTTAAATGGGATCCACTAATCTAATAATCTCCCTTCATTTGAGATGCAAATTTGAATTGTAAATTTAGGTTATATAGCATTGCTCGATTGGTTTTATAACATATATACTACTAACACCTCACACGCGTCCAAACAGACTAGGCGATTCCAAACGGCCTCAAGAAGAAGTCACTCCTTGTTTTTCAAAATTTCAATTTATAGGGAGAGTCCCAACGTGGAAAGTGCGTTCCGATCCTCATCATTTTCTGTCCAAAATTTCTTTTTAATGCATCAAGCACCCTTTCCTCAACTTCCACTCTTTCTTCGTTGTTTGTTCCACTTGTGACAAATAATTAGAACAAGTAAAAAATTTCCAAACAATTCAACACATATAACACAAAAATAGTATCATTATTAAATATAACAAAATCACACCTTTAATGGTTAACCACTGAACTCCTTCTACATGGCTCTTTGTCTTAGAGCTGTTGCCAAGGCAATTTTTTTGTTACACTGATTTTTTCCTCATCAATAATGATAAAATTCCATCACCATTTTCACTGATCGTTATCACTTTCATTGCAGCTACTATTTGCTTTTCTTTTAGTACCACTTCACATACCTTCTGTTTCTCGAGACATTGCAAAAAAAACTTTTTTTTTATTCCAATCATAAAGTAATGCATGTAAAAATTTATTATTTCACTATATTATTTTTAGGATTAATAATTATAAATAACTCGTTAGAATCGTTCTTAATTACATGTAAAATTTTATAGTTTTTATTTCATTTTATTTTATTATTTCCATGATAGAGGGCTAAAAATAATTTAAAATACAATCAATGGCCGAAAATTATTTTTCAATACAATACCAAAAAATAAAACCTTAGCTACCATAGACTTACCCTTAGTTATTTCTCCACAACTTCACATATAGAGGAATTCCCTAAATCTTTTCTAAATAGTTATATAGTCGTTCTAAAAGTACAAATCCAGTCAACCTCCCCAACTCACCGACTCCAAATCTCCAGCATCTTCTTCAACAGATGTACTCGTGTCTTCTCTAGTTACGCTAATGCTCGAAGCAGATAACCCAACAGTTTCTGGCAAAAACCCATGCAGAAGCATGGCCTTCCTCTTGCCTCTATGTTGTTGCCATCTTCTCAATGTCTCTGATACCTCTCTTTCAATCTTAGCCCTCTCCCGTGATCCTTTTGCAGTTACTACTGTCAAATCTTTCTCACGAAATCTCCTAGTAGTCGCTGTAGTCCCTGTGATTGCTAGGAAGAGCAGTGGTCTAAAGCAACTAACAAGAACAATAAGAAGAAAAAGGTATACATACAGAGATGTCCACACATAAAAAGTCCATTTCCAACAGCGCACGAATTCTTTTCTCCAAGGGAGCTGGGAATTTAAAATAACTTCAGCTTCATACAACTGAGGAGGAGAAGAAGTACCAGCCCGTGGAATCAAAGTTATTCGGATAGCTTCGGTTCTAGGACATCCTTCTTTATGTTTTACAATTGGTATGCTTATTTTCTGGGTTTCAGCAGCAATTCCTAGCAATACAGGTATGCTCATGAGAAGGGTACGCATGAGTCGAATTGGGAAGCTTCTAAAATGCAACATGCTTGGCTGGCCAGATTTTGCTACCACAACTCCATTAGTTGATATGAGTTCTGCTGTGACCTGATAAAAGAACTCATTAAACAACTATTGCAGCAAATAGCTGGTGATTTAAAGTTCATTTCTCATAGAGAAAAATATGTCTTTCAGCAGAATGTCAACTATCAAGCTGAGAACCAGGATTATGAAATAGCATCCAATCAGAGGAACACAAAATAGTTATGGTAATGGAGCAAGATTAGTGAGATGATAAGGCATAGTAAGTTTTCTGAAAATTATATAAAAATCTCCGGATACTTTTAAATAAACAAGTATAATGATCCTCTGCCCGTGCATATTTCAAAATTACTTGCAGTGGTATCGTATGTACAGAACATAATAGGGACACTTTCAACAACAGTATTTTCACAAGTATTATGAAAAAACTTATCATTGTATCATGAACTTTGGGAGGCTGCTCTACGCAAATATGGCTCACTCATGACAGTCATTCCACATATATAAATCTAAAGAAAGTAAATAACATATTATCACAATCACAATCATACGAAGACTGTCCAGCCCAAAGTTTTAGACAGCCGTATGGAAACAGTAATGGTGCTGCAGACATGGGGTGTAATGCATGTTATGTAATAGTAACAGAAATTGGAGAGTAAATTTTTTTTCTCAATTCACACCCTTTCGAAATAAATATGTTTGCACATTTGAACTCCCCAGTCATTCAAATATGTTATTTCATGATTTTTAATGTATTCTATATTACCAAAAGTTTAATACTGTCATCTGAAAAGAACCTCCATTAATTTTTAAGTGGTTAAATACAAAAAGTTCATAAATATCAAAAACAAACTGTAGATTGATAAAATTGTAATCACCAACTCTTCTCAAGTCTATCTCAAACAAGATGAAGTCTTACAGAAAAGATCCAAAAATGGAACTTGGACCTAAATTTTGAAAAAAAAAAGTAGATTAAATAAAGCCTTTTCATACCCCAAATTGATTGCTTTTTTAAGTGTCACTGAGCCGAAGAACCCAAGGAAATGAAGTTAGGCAAATCTATCATCAACAAGGTTGCATTCTTACGGTCACTAGCTTTCTTCATTAGGTCCCACTACCCATTAGCTTTCCCATTAGGACTCCTCTTGAAGTTAAAGAGAAAATACTAAATGTAACGGTTACACCAAGTCGGTAGCCCCACTTGGTGTACCCGTCCACCAATAAGTGAACAAGTGGGTAAGTGAACCCACAAAATTCAATAACAATTGATGGATGTAAACAAGTGGGCTTCACTTTATCTATTTTCTAGTTTCTCTATTGGACAATTATACCACATGACACTGCTGACTTACATTGAATATTTAATCCAACTTTATCTATTTACCAAGTATTGTGTTTTTGTAGAAAGAAACAAGAATCTGAGTAAAAAGACTAAGGCTGTAAATCTAAACAACCCGGGGTGCAATTATTGATATTGTTAAACTGGCCTTCAATTTTATTGATTTTGGGAGGTTCCATTCGGGCAAGGAAACAAGAACTTGAGACTGCTGTTAACAGAAGAATCCGGTCAAGGCTGCTAGTAAATTTTAGGTTTGTTGCTTCCTCATTCTCCCAACTCATCAAATCAAATGAATTCTTAGGGCTTGACATTTGACGTTAAAACATATAAATCTAGAGAGTTTGAGAGCTCAGATGACCCAATAAATAGGGAAAAGTGGCTAAAATTTTATTTTTGAATGAAACTTAGGCGGGTCCAACCACATTGAAATTCACCCATTTCGGGTCGTAATGTATTGTATCAGCCTGAGTTTACCCCTATTTGCCATTATGCTGGTGACACAGTCGTGATAACCGTTATGGGTGTTAAAAAAAATTCCAACGGGAGAATTGGAGTGTCACAGTATCCAAGGTTATCGTTCCCATTACAAAACAGTTGTTATGCACCGTAACGACTGGTGTTTAAGATTGTGGTCTAGCACACATCCTTCTTGTTGGAACCCACTTGAGAAGAGATAAAAATCCCACACCAGAAAAGAAATGAGTACAATGGCTTCACATAGAAAGATTGGACACACCACTCTCAACTTAAGCTTAAGCTTTTAGGTCAACTTTTAGTCCAACAATGTATGGGCCAAAATTTCAATAATTTCAATGGCTCATCGAAGTAGCCATTTTTGACTGTTTAAGATAACTCAATTTTAGTCAAGTTCAATCTTATTTTCCTTTTGTACAATAGGTACTTCAAAGCAATAGGGAAAAAGAGCCTTAAAAACACTATCAAAAAGGAGGGCCATCTATGGAACCCAGAATGAAAAATAAAAATCTTGATTGAAGCGTCAATGCTAGTTTCGTTTATAAATTTCTCTCTCTAATATTTCTTTATTCATTCAAATTTTCCTTTTTGGCTTTTAATACCAATTGGATGTGCAACAATTATGGCAATGTGATATACACACCTTCAAATTTTAGAAAATTTAACAGAGTATGGTTGGGTAGCCTACACGAAGGTGGCAACCTGACATGTATAAGTACAATGATGGAGTTTCATAACATTCCTACCATGAAAAAGATATTCACTAAACAGAATATTTAAGTAGATATCCTATTCAACAGATTGTCTGGAATTATACTAGGAAAAATTTGTAACATCTCCAAAGTGTGGGGAGAAAACTTATTTGGCTTTAATAGATAATGGTGAGTGATAATTTACTCATGGAGATGATAAAATGAAATGGGAATTAGTTTCTCTGGAGAGGAGGCAATGATAAATTGCAAGCCCCATGGAAAGACCATGGAAATGACCTAATCATATTGTTGTGGGTGTTTCTAGTGGCACATAAAAATATTGGATTAGCAACAGTAGTTTTAGGTTGAGTTACATGCATCTTTCAAGTTCAAGGATCATATGTTTTTCAAGGACAGAGAACTATAAATGCTTATGGTCCACAGAATCTAAGCTAAATCCTAATGAACCCAAATTTTACTGGGTCAGGTCTAATTAATCAAGTAATCAGCTAAAAGGCAGGTCAAACCCAATTCGTAAATCCGATCCTGCCTAATGCCCAAGGAGTCCAAGAAGGATAAGAGCATGTCAGGAGCAATTATCGGGATACTCACTCTTGAAGATCAAGGCACTCTTTAATTGTACTTAAGTCTGACAATTCTAGACTCGACCCGTGAAACTGACATGAATCCGACACGGATTTAGAGGGTTTGGGTGTACTCTTAACGGATTAACTCAGCAAACCCATGAAATAAATGAACCGATTTCGTGTTTAACTCATAAACTCGTTTCAACCCGTTTAATCCATTAACAATGGAACTATAATTTTTTTTTTAAAAAAAGTTAGGTCTCTCAGCATCTGCCTCATCTCACACCTCCCATCTCTTAAACTCATTCAAATTTAGTAGTCATTTAATGTTTATTTTTTGTCTTTATTTTTTTGCTCAACCATAATTTATTGTTATCGTAAACAGGTCAAACATGTGTAATGTGTAGGAAGTTGATGATTTTTTATGTATACTCGAAATACTCTGACCTATTATCTTATTTAGCGAATGACACACGGATTGTATCAGGTAACCCGTTTAATAAATAATTTGTGTATGGGTGTGATAGTTGCACTCGTTTATATAAAGCAATAAGGTATGAATGGAGAATTTTCTGATACAGATCTGTTCTACCTGACAAGAAACTATTCCACTCGACACGATTGAGGGCTAATTGTATTTTACTTTTTGTAGCTATCCTCTCCAAAGAATTATTGTTTTCCCATTCAACTCACTGCCTCAACTAAGCCTTTGTACCTATAAATTGTAAGCTCTCTCCATTGAGATGAGCATCTCTATGTCTCTCTACACCTCCTCACATAGCTTTTATCTCTCCTAACTATTGTATTTCTCCCGGATCTAATCATTGCTCTCTCTCTCACCTACTATTTCATCAATAAAGGTTCACTGGCCACTGTTGCCGTTTTCCGGAGTGGAGTAGATCACCCAGATCGAACCGCTATATATTTGTGTGTTGACCTGATATTTACATTATTGTTATTGATTGCTCGATTAATTGTCCATTAATTACACTTTATTACACACTCGACTGTTGATCTTGCATAAGACTGTTTTTGTGCATCAGCAATTCCTACTTTGATCTCCCAAGTAGCAATCAAACCATTTTAGTGCCTATTGTCTAAAATACGTCTTTAAAAACTCTTTTTGTTTAATGCTCTCTAAATTAAGATTTCATCATAAAAATACAAAGAAGAGAATTTCTTGATGTAATTCAATGTATGCAGATGACAAAAATGCATCTCCATGGTTCAAATGGGTGCAACCTACATCTCAAATAGTCCATGTTTATTTATAAATAGAAGAGTTAGTCTAGTTGCCATACAACCAAAAAAGAGCAATTGTAAAACCCGTAAGAAAGGTCAAGAGCCAAAAATATCAGATACCTCTATTGAAGCAATGCGCATGTACAACCACACCACCAATTTGACTGGCATACTTCAGTCATCAGAACAAGTCAAATCTAGTAAGTCTACTAGGATATCCAAATTTTTAGGTTGAGGGGTCAAAAATGAATGTAAATTGCTGATCGAAAAAAATTAGAGTGAGTTTAACACATTGTGTAGCTGCATCATGTGGTGTGAATACCCCATGAAAAATTGTCATCTAAGACACAAGTTGATTATTTTTCAAAAAAAATCTGACAAATCAATTTTTTTTTTTTGAGAATGTACAACTTTTGATTGTCTTGACACTGCCTAGTGGTGTGTTAAACCTCCACACAAATTTCTCCTACTTACCAGGACTAACAAAACAAAAGACATAAAGCTGAATAAGTCTTAAGATAATATATAACAAGAAACCAATAAGCTAACATAGAAGAGTTGTTTAAAAGATTATTTAAGAAAAACGCGCATATAAGTTAATCACATTTTCTACAATTCTATGATCATGTCATGCTCTTAGCCTTAATTCTGAACTAGTAACAATCATAGTTGTTAGTATCGTACGATACGCGATACGTATCGTACGATACGTTATGATAAAGAAGTAAAACGATACGGATCGTAGTTATGTATCGTTTTTGCGTCGTATCGTTCGATACACGATACGATACAACCGATACGTGCAAAACCTCATTTTTTTTTTCCCTGAAACAACGTCATTTTGTCTAAATAAGACACTAATTTTATCCCCGCCACTAATGAAACGACGTCATTTTGTCTAAATAAGACACTAATTTTTTTTTTTGTATAAAAATTTCTGAATCTTGATTAATTTTATGGATTGAGTTCAAAATGAATGTTAGAAATTTGGATTAAAAGTCTCTTTGTTGTTTGAAGTTTGAATTAGTGAACTATGGTTGTAAACTTTGCATTATAATATTAGTGAATTATGTTGATGACTTGAATAGATGGTAGAGTATTAATGATATGCTATATTTTTATGAGTGTATAATTTTTTTTCAAAGGTATATATATTTTTTTATTATTTATTTAAAATTACACCGTATCTTACGATACACAATACGATACATTATTTTAAAAAACGATACACCTTCCGATATACGATTTAATAACTATGGTAACAATAAGTAGTGGCACCAACTTGTTGCCTTTTTTGGGCCACATGGTGGCTCTAAACTAATCTTTGGCACATGCAAATATTTTATTAATGCTAAGATGCACCATGTAACAACGGACATTTTTCCATGAATGAATTTCAAGGTGTAACGTCAAAATTCCAATGATGCTATTGCAACAATAAGCTTCACTGTTTAATCCAATGACATAAACTGTTTGAAAATCCTATTAGTGTTTCTCTGCTCCTAAATTTGAGTTCCAATTCTAATTGATTTTTAGTTTCAGGTTTCATTTCTCTCAAGGAGTTTTCATACTACCCATACACTCTAAGCATGATTAATTTTGTTCTTCCAATTCAGCTGAAATTTTGAAAGTTGTTTGCGAATTGATACCTTCCATATTATTTTAAATGCAAGTGTGCTCAATTTTCATCCCCAAATGGAAGCCTCGTTTAGTTTACTACGTTTTACTTTGAAGAGGGCGGGGCATTGTCTAGTGTAGTATCTATCAGGTTGTGAGTTCAACTCTAAGGTAGCCATGTAAAGGATATAAAGGCAAGTAAGTATACCATCCATCTTTCTAGGAACCCGATTATTTTCAGAAGGCAATTTTTTTCCCAGAAGGTAGTCCTTAAGATTAATAAGGCTAAACTAGGTGATTACATTTTATATTGCATTGTCAAGCCATAAAGTTGTACTTCCTGTTTGGGAAATACTTATCTTCCTTTCTCTGATTAGTCTAAATCCTACTAATCTGTAACTTTGGTAATGAATGCAACACTTTAATCCCATTGTCTGTTTTAGATGCCATGCCTAGATCGTTTCATTGTACCTGATGATACCATAATCTGATCAGACCATTTTTGTCAGTTATAGCTCAACCTCGACCAGCATGACAACGAAGGTAGAAGAGGAAGGTTGGCATTGTTTAGAATTAACCACGTCTAAGCCTCCACGATAGAGAAGGACATTCAGACTGACAAGCATAATAACCATATCTCGTGTTGTTATTGGAGGTTTGAACTCTCTTGAGAAGCATCACTCTGTCACGTTGGTGCACTTCTACAAGAACCTGCCACGTTGCCCCAAGGGAATGTAGGCTCTAACGGCAATATTCCCTCAACAACATCCCCCAATGTTCTCCCCACAAAATCGTAACAAACTGGGAGGGTCACATGAAGATGACCAGGGAACCACCCCCTCAAGAATGTGTATATATATTCATAGGCCTTCTCCGAGAAAGGGTAGGAGAAAATACCGTTACAAATCCCTCTCCTTAAAGTAATACAAAAACCCCAAGGAGCAAGAGACTCTATTTGAGTAGACTAGACATGTTTCAAGGCTGGTGAACCACTTCAATCAGTGTGATCTTCATTGTTTTTCTGCTTTTCAATACTCACCATCTCTCTCAAGCCTTAAGCTCTTCAGCTTAAGCATCGTCCCATTAGATACTTCACTAATTTGGAATCCTCACACTTACATACATCATTAGTACCAATATTAAACTCACAGCTACACCTACCAGCCAGTTCAAAAGATGATTACGGGGCTTTAATTGTAAATAATTGGTTTCTTGTTGTGTGTGAAAATTCTCTATTCACCTTTTCAAATTCTTTATATAAGGAAAAAAAAAAATTTCTTTCCAACTACTTCCACAATGTGCAACAAACGACCTACCATATGGATTATATTTTCTTCTGAGACAAGTTATAAGTTTTTGGGTCGATTTAGTGATTAATTTACCACAAAAAATTAGTATCAATCTTCAAAATGTTTGGCATACGTCTTAAAACATTAGGATTCTTCTCTAATAATCCCATTTTGGTGTAAACTTAACATATTGAGTTGTAGCCTACCCAAAAAACACTTTCTGGTATAGTGAACATATCCTTTGACAAGAAATTGTAATCATTTGGGGAAACGATCATCTAAATGTTACTAAACCAAAATAATTGCAATCTTAAATCCCCCGCCCCCTAAAGGAAAGACAAAAATAACCTAAGAGAAATTAGAATACCTGGAACACTCCAATCTCCAAGTTGAAATCAGATTCAGGCATCAAAAGAACCAAACGAACAAAAAAGGTGTGTCCCACAGGCACACCCATCTTCTTCCTCTTGATGAATCCTCCAAAACCACCATCATCACTCCTTAAAGGGAACACAGCCTCAGGATGAATATCAGTGTAATCAAAGTGTAAGCTCTCTCTCATAAATACAGGCTCTTCCACCCACAAATTCACCAACCCAACTCCCAAGATGACAGCCAAGAACATCAGCATTGTGAGAACAATGCATACATATACAGCTCCCAGAAAACCTAATCCTATCTTCCTCAGAAAAAGGCTGCAGCCATGGACGATTGACTCGAACCTTTCTTTGGCCTTTTCCGTGCGGCGGCAGGACTCAGACGCCAGGTATAAGAGAGAGAAGATGGGGGATGTGAGAGGAACCAAAGAGTTATATAGAATCTCTACTTGCAAGGAGACAAACTTCATGAACCAGGCTGATGGGTTTGGAATAGGGAAAAAATCCTCCACCTTCTCCTCCTCTTCCATCATGTACGTTGAAGGTTGTGGTGGTGGTGGAGCGGCGGTAGATATTGGGCGATAGTGTCGTCTTTTAAGATGAGTTCGTCAGTTCCCATGGTACTGAGAGATTAAAAGCAAGAGAGAGGAGAGAGAGTAAGGCCCGCAAAATTGTCTGCCTCGCGTCCACCTGTAACATGCATGAGGAGAGGTTGGTGAGAAGTGGAGCGGTGGCTAGCTTAGCGAAGACGTGGC